AAAGACTCAAATAGCCACTGGATGGTAGTAAAGAGGTACAAAGAGATACCTAAGAGCCTTCTAGGGAGCATGTGGAATTTTGCAGCTTAGCTTTGGAATACCTCAGTTAGCCTTTGGAGTCACCAGACTACTTTAAAAAGCTGTTCAAAAGAGCAGGAAAAGTCCATCTTCATTGTGAGAAATAATCAGCACATTTAATTAACATGGACTGTGAATACCAGTTTTGCTTCCACTGGTGTCCTTCAGAGTAGTGGGATATCATGAGTCAAACTTATTTTCTCTGCTTGTGGAGAAACCTCAGCCACTCCTGGCCCCAAATGCAACACTGTAGGGCCAGCTTCCACGACTCCCAAAGAGTCAGTTCTGCTATCTGATTGCCTCAAGTCATATCACCAGCTGCTCTGAGTCATACAAACAGAAGACATAAGTTGTAGTGTGGATGTTTCTTAGAAGACTTTGGGTAACAGTCTTCCTTTCGCCTACTTTATTTCCTTTAAGTCATCAAAGCTGCCAACTCCATTAATCCCTTGTGGTTTATATAATGGGCATGATAAAATGTTTAGAAAAGGTTTTTCTACTTTGTAAAAATCCTGGCTAGACAAAAGGATATATCCCCCCCTGCCTCTAGACAAATGTTGGAGGCTAACATAAGCAGTCCATAGCTATCTGCTGTTTCTGGGACTGCTTCCTGTGTCACAGGAAGTTTTGCAAATCATTAATGTAAGGCATGTTTATAAAAGCCTGGAGTTAAAGCTGAAGAGCAATAGGCAATAGAGAGGCTGGGATAGCTCTACAGTCTATTTTCCCATGAGAACTAATAATTCATTCTGATTTGACTCCATTTGGGAATAGCTGTTAATATTTTACCCAGGACGCATCACAATGACTTTCTTCTGTATGTATAATCTTTAAAATAAAAGGATGATGAAAACAATATAAAAAAACACATTGGCAAAACAAAAGTTATTGAAAATTCAACATCATATATGATTAGATTAGGGCTGAGCCAACTGATCCATTGGTAAGCTATTCCCTTTAAATCAGACCCAGTCACAGAAGATACTTTGAGATTCTATAAATACAAAAAAATAAGTATGTCATCTGTATTACAGGAATATTTATGCATTCTTCTAGATAAAATACTTTCATCCAAGAGAATGTTTTCTGGTAGTGCAAAACAGGATCCCTATATGTGTTTAGAAGGCCATTTGTTAGTTTACAGCAGTAGTTATGCCCAAACAAATTAACTTGAAGATCTATCCTTCTTTTAAAACAGGGAGAAAAACTTTCTAACAAAGTCAGCTTCCAGGAAGTGATTTCATGAGCTGGTTGACCTCTAGTTCCCAAACAAAATGGCCAAATCCTAAGCAAAGCCTACTACTAAAATAAATACAAGTATTAAAAGTGTCTGAATCTCTCCCTAAATATTTGGCATTCATCTCTGTTACACTCACACACATGTTTCTGGGTTGGTTACCACTTGCCCATTTTTTTCATCTTTCAGAAAGTGTTCCACTTCAATAGAGTCCACTTTGGATTCTCCTGGTAGTTGATTTAACCCTTCTCTTTCAGCATTATCTTCTTTTGAGTGTGTTTGCACAGGTCTTTTGATACAGAAGACATTTCCTAAAGTCAGCACCACAGAGGAGGTTAAGACTTCAACACCAGCCAAAATAAAAACATACATATACTTGTGAGTTGCATCCAGGAGTTTGCCTGAAATAGAAAAATCATATCTTAATAGCATATTCAGTCAAATCGGGAGTTGTATTTTTAACCGTTTTAGAAAGCTGAAATGAATATGTCTGGGGAAAAACACCTGTCAAATACTTTCATTATACAACTTTAGTGAAATGGTTAATCAGAGGGGGAGGGATAAAGAAGCAATGGTGATAGCATGAACCTAGCTTGTGAGTGTGTGTGTGTAATATACATGTAAATCATTGACTTGCAAACTGAAATATCTCAACTTGAAACTATTTCCTTTAGGATATATCGTAATATAAAACAGAACATTTCACAAAGAGACCAAAGCTTGTGCTCTACTTGGGAAAGGAGAAGTATTTCTTTAAATTCAGTGATTTAGATTTCTCTCTATTCTTTGTTTTCAGTACATATGTAAAGGCCTTATTTGAATACGTTGCACACAATTCCACTTTGTCTACATACTCTTCCCCCTGCTCCTCTCTCTGCTTTTGCCTCTGCTTCTGCTCTAGTGGGTTTGAGGGTGGTCTTTTCCTTGTGTTTCAGCCATGCAATTTAGAAAAGAACATAAGCTGTGGAGCTACCTCATTTGATCCATCTAAATTGCCTACTGTTAGTTCTAATTAGGAGGTGGAGCCACTCCATCCACATCTTGCCACTCTTTTGTACTTTTCTTTGCTCTTCACTTTGAGGCTTAGATTGAAACAGTTCTCTTTGTGTCTTGGGATTCCACCTCTAAGGTAAATGCTCCTGCTTTTGGCCTTCAATTACGTTCATCTGCATCCAGCAGAACAGAATAGCAAATCAGCCTCTAATTCTCAGACAACACCAGGAAAAATAGAAAAGTGGGTAACATAGCAATATAAACAAAACACATGGGTTGGGGGTTTCATGGCTGTTATTCCTCCCCTTGGTAAGTGTTCATCTTTTTTTCTCTTCCCATAAAATGGAACAATTAACATTGTTAATTAGCTAAATGGAGTACTTACCTGCTGAAGGTGGGCCAATTAGAACAGCCATGGCCTCAGCCAAAAGAACTAAACCAATGGCACTGGAAAACTTCTGTGTACCAACAATAGCCATGAGAACTTCAAACTGAAGGGCACCAACCATTCCATAGGACATGCCAAAGAATATGCAGAAGACCACCAGACCACCATAATTATGGGACAAGGAGCCCAAGAGATCAGTGAAACCATTAAAAAACATAGCAAAACTAAAGAGGTAGACACAGCGGGGCCTAACCCACTTCAAGCCAGCCACTACTCCACAAAGAGGCCGAGCAAAAATATCCACAAAGCCAAGAATTGTCAGAAGAAAAGCTGATTTGGTGTCCTCATACTTCAGATCCTTAGCGTAGCTCACTACAAAAACTGGAGGCACAAATAAGCCTAGCACCATGATGGATGCAGCCACCGTATAGATTACAAAACCAGAATCTTTGAAGACGGTGAAATCCAATAGCTTTTTCTTCTGTTGTTTCTCAGTTGTTTTGGAAGCTTCCAGTTTTTTTGGACTTTCCAAAGGTCTCATCAGAGCTCCACAAACACAGCAGTTCAAAAGCAATCCTCCCAAAATAAGAAATCCCCCTCGCCATCCATATTCATGCTGCAGTACTTGTCCCAGGGGGGAAAGAGCACAGAGAAACACAGGACTTCCAGCTGCAGCCAACCCATTGGCCAAAGGCCGCTTTTTGCTAAAGTAGCGATTTAGCATGATAAGGGATGGCTGGAAGTTCAGGGCCAGTCCCAATCCTGAAAAAGAACAAAGATCACAATTTAAAACACTAACCAGGTTCAGTGTGTAAAATAGGAGTAGACCTATGTTTACCTGCACAACCCACAGGGGCTGCAGGTAATCAATTCTCCCTAGGATATAAAAATAGGACGGAAATGTTACACTCATATGTCATTATGGGCTGTATCTCATTGTTGAAATTTAGGCAGAAGGAGATACGGAGCAGCCAGTATCAAGCAAGGTTTCTGACATTTGTGTCTAAGGATAAATGATCATTTGTTCTTATGAAAATGGTGGTAACGAAAGTTCATTCTGTGCCTGTCTTAAATAAAAGAAACATTTTAATTTAGAAAAAAACCCACCATATATGTATTTGAAGAAAGAAAGAGAAATGCTGTGCAGGCAGAACAAAGCTCTTGCAGTGTGCATCTGGCCCTACTGCTTGCTTGAAAGAAGTAGAGCAAGGCCTGAAGAACGGATGTCACAAAGGATTGCTTTGGAAGATGGGGAAAATGGAGAGATTGTGTTGAGGAGAAAAACTGCGTTATACAAAAACATGTCACAATCACCATGGCATCCATTTAGGAGCTCCCCTGCAAATAAGTCTCCCTGCACATTCAAAAGGAGAACATCAAGGAGGAAGCTACTCTCTTTCCCTCTTATATGCCATCACTGCAGGTAGTCCTCACTTAGCAACCACAATAAGGACCAGAAAATTGGTCGTTAAGCAGGGTGGTCATTAAGTGAGTCACCACATGACTGGACCCAATTTTACAACCATTTTTACGACAGTTGTTAAGTGAATCACCACAGTTGTTAAATGAATCCAGCTTCTCCAATGGACTTTTTTGATGGAATTCACTTAATGACCATGTGATTTGCTTAACCACCATCGTAAAAAAGGTTGCAGATTGTGATCACCTGACCATGGGGGGGTGCACCAGTTTGCAACAGTCATAAGTGCAAGTACAGGCTGTAAAGCACTTTTGCCAAGACCGTCGTAACTTCGAACCATCGTTAAATGAACAATCGTTAAGCAAGGACTTGCTAAATTAACACTTTGCTTGCCAATACATTTAAAGACATTTGCTATTACTTACCAGTAAGGACACCAACAGTAAGATAGACCTGAATTATATTAGTGGAAAAGGAAGCAACAATCATCCCTGCTGATGCAAGGAGACCTCCAGCCAGCATTACAGGACGGCAGCCAAACCGATTGACACACATGCTGCAGAGGGGACCTGAAGAAAATAAACAGTAGCTTAGATGCTTCTGCTGTAACTGGCCCAGAATAATGGTGGCATTTTGTATTTCTTCTCATACTACATCCTCAAACATTTTGAATGTAAAGTTTTCAATATTCTAATAATTGGTGCCGATATTTATATTTATTCATTTATATGATTTATTTGGCTGCCCATCTCACAAAGTGACTCTTGTAAGATGGTGTCCGACTGCAATATGGAATGTGTTGCGACTCAGATGACTGTAATCCAGTATGGCACAAAAATGTTTAGTGAATCTTGATTTGGACAGAGAAACGGAAACGTCCATGATAAACGGCTTTCAGCTTTTACTTTCTCAGGCTTGGCAACCTAAGAATTAGCCCCAGGTCTATAGCTGAAGCTGGAAGATTCATTTGGCCCAGGGCTTCCCTCCCCCGCCCCGATTCAGTCCTGGGAAAAGCCCATACTCCATCCTAGCGTACCTACCATGACCATAAGTCCTTTGCTACAAAGGACAGTCCT